AGTCTTAAGTATCGAGCCAATTTCAGGGTTCTAGGTTGATCCAAGTTTGGTATTCCAGTCAACGAGGGGAAAGACACTACCAGTTAGCCCAAATCACATTTATTTGGAAGTTTTCAATCTTAGGTGATATATTTGTAAAGGGCGTTTTTTGTAGTAATTCTTAGCACTCACTTTTTCTGAAAGATTTCCTTGGCCTTGTTGAGGTCCCCTGAACAAGCCACCAAGCTGTGCTGCCCAGTTTTCCCAACTGCAAAGAAAAGCATGTATCGGGTGGTTCTCTGACCTCAACCCAGACAGGGTTCCTGTATATTAGCAGACAGTTCTCTTAAGGTCTTTCTGCTTAGCATCCGACAAATGGGCAGGAAAGTGAATGAACATTGATGCAAATTGTCTACCAATTGCTGTGCTCTTTGAACAACTCTAGCAGACCAATCTCAGGAGAGTTCCCAATCTCCATGGGCTTTCTCAAAGGAAATTTCCTAATGAGGATGCCTGCCACCTCCCAATTTTCAGAAGCTCAACTTGATCTTTAAGTCCATTCCAGATGCAGAGCCTCCACGTAACCAACGGAAACCCCAAGGACCCTTTGGCCTCTCTAGGCTGCCTTTGGCTTTCTGAAGAACAACTCATGAAGTCCAATGATACAAAAGGCAGTACCTCGGCCCCATCTCATCCAAACACTGAAGTTTTTCTGGGCATCGTCTTCCAACAGCTGAATCAGATAATATTTGTTGTTGTTGAACTGGAGATTGGTCTATGATGAGAGAGAGAAGTAAACATAACAAAAGGGAGAGGTATGCAAATGGCAGCTACCTACACCGATTCTTCCTTGGTCAAGGGTGCTAATCATTTCTGTAAAGAAAAATGCAGAGGCGAGAAAAGTATATTTCCTTCAAGGGAGTAGATATAAAGAAGGAGTCAAAACCACTAAGCCCAAACCCGCTGCTATGGAGTAGCTTCTGGCTGACATCGACCCTCTGGAGTCCACGGCCTGTAGGGTTTCCAGGCTAGAATCTTGACTGGACCAGACTGCTGGTAGGTTCAAACTGCTAATCTTGTGGTTTGCATCTAGGTACTTAACCCTGCACCATCAGGGTTCCTTAAAGCAGAAAACAGAATTTATAGGTTAGACTTTGGGCTCCTAAAAATTTAAGTGGGAGCCAGGAAGCCTCCTAAAACCCTCTGCTCAGCCTCAACTATCTTGTAGTGGCTGCTCCTGTTTCCAGTATTTTTGCCTTAGCTTCCTCTATTGACATCCCCGAGGCGTCTGTGTCTTCTAGCTCCCAGCTCACTCCCAACGATCCATTTCCTAACGGAAAACAATTTTGATGCTCCAGAGGTCCATGACAATTATAACTTTATTTAGATGACTTGCTCTTTGACAATCTACTTCTCATTCTGGTTTGTTAGCTGTAGCAATCTGACAATGAGCTGAGAGCAACACCAGGTTAGGAGGGGACTCAGGGTAGGGAAGGGACCACTGACACACACCTCTATTCCACACCTACGCTGACCTGACTAGAGACCAAAGGACTGTGACAGACCCCCACCTAACTCGTAATAAAAAGTTGTTATGAAACAAAGTGAATGTGACCAGTATCCATAAGGAGGTAACAAGAATGCAAAGTGAAGAGCAGCAGTCGAGGATAAGACTCAAGTCCAGTGGGGGACTAACCAGTAAGCACAGAACGCTTGAGTTTAATTGGTCTTAGTTGCTACTCTGTGGTGGACAATTTCACCTGGTGATGAGTAGG